ATCTGTTGTTTGTGAAGCTTGCACACAAGACTTTGACTCACGTGTGCTGTACCAGTGCCATCCACTACCATTCAGATAGTCTTCTCCTCTAGCATCTTGACAGTCATAGTATCCTGTTTTGAACACATAGGTTGAACACCTAAGAATAGTCCTTTCATTCTGGCACAGGAGAACATTCATCTGCCAGAGTTTGCCCACATTACTGAGAAGTTTAGCACAGGGAGTCAGCGTGCTCATTAATAGACACTGAGGAGTGGAGGCCTGATGAAGGAGAACTTTGGCCGGACCCTGCAGAGTCAAACTGAGTCGTGTCATTAGTGCAGCTGGCCCTCCTTGCCGACCCAGATGTACAGACTCTACTAGAGTCAGGAGATGGGTTCAGAGCCATTCAGCAACAATGGTTGACGGGGAATACCTTGCAGGTCACGATAGGTCTTCAGAGCATCAACTGGATGTGAGTGTTTGGAGAGTTCAGTGGCAGTGGATTCTCTCTGGAACCACTGACCCAGAACTGTTTCCCAGGGTCTGTGGTGGAGGCTATTGAGAAGAAAAACTGACCATCCCAACACCATTCTAATGTCTCTGATTTCTTAGCAGGAGGGCCATAGCCCAATAACATGGTGGTAGTTGCTGTTGCTGCTCTCTGCTTGGTATCAGCTTTGCATCCTTCCCTTGATGGACACATTGTTGAGAATGATGGAAATACACATCATGATTGAATAGAGACTTTGTACTCGAGCCACTCTGCAAAATCTGGTAAGGTTGGCATTGGTGACTGAAGAGGATTGATGAACCACTTAAACTGTACTCGAAGAATGGCAGTTTGGACAGCAGTCTGGTGACATGCAACCCACACTCCAGTTCTAGTCTCCCCTCTTTCCCAAGCTGTTCCAACATTCCGACTAGAGCTTGTACTTTTAGAGGAAAAAGATGGAACCCTCAGCTGTCGCCACTCCAGACAGGAGGCTCAGACAGCACATCAGTGATCTGCTGCAGGGCTAGTTTGTGAATTTGACCATACGGCTCTACAGGTTCTGGCTGTTGCTGTATGAATCTGCAATCAGGAGAGCATCTTCCAGCTTGAGCTGATCATGATAAAGGTGGGATCAATTTTGCTACTAACTCTCCACAAGACAGTTAATAACTAACTTTAGTAGCTTTAGTAGTTTTTTAAATGTTTATTTTATCCCCAGTTTTTGCTTAAATGAGAAAGCTTCTGCTTTTTTCTGACACTTTCATTCATGACATTACTTTTTGACTGTATGTGTGTTTAAAGCAGGCATATAATGCATGCTTATGAAAAAAAGAGAGAAAGAGCATCACTATATCCACTACACAATTATTTTGTCACCTCTACACGTCTTCAGATATCTTGCC